AGCCCCATGGTATCAGTATGGGGTAATTGTTTTCAGGTAGAATCGTATAGAAGCAAACTGAATACAATGATGCCATACCGTAATAAATGATTTTACATCTTGTATTAGTTGTAGTTAGCTGTAGCTCAAAAACGTTCCAGAAAAGCAGTTCTTCAAGTATGGCACCACCAAGAGTTCACGATAAGTATGGCATAATTTTTCCGAAGCATATTACCTTGTAATCTTTCGAAAAATTTAAATGCCATAGTGGTTACAATTCTTACAAATCTTTTCGTTAGTTTTTTGGTCTCATCTCAGCGCAAGTGTGACAATCTTCAGCCCCATGGTATCAGTATGGGATAATTATTTCCAGGAAGAATCGTATAGAAACAAACTGAATACAATGATGCCATACTGTAATGAATAATTCTAGATCTTGTACCAGTTGTAGCTGGAAGACGTTTCAGGAAACTAATTTTTCCGAAGCATATTACCTAGTAATCTTTTGAAAAATTGAAATGCCATACTGTTACAATTCATATCGTTATTATGTTTTTGATCTCATCATAGCGCAAGTGTGACAGTCTTCAGCCCTATGGTATCAGTGTGGGATTATTGTTTTCAGGTAGAATCGTATGGAAACAAACTTAATGCAATGATGCCATGCTGTAATAAATAATTCTAGACCTTGTATCAGTTGTAGCTGGAAGACGTTTCAGAAAACTAATTTTCAAGTATGGCACCACTCTCAGACTACACGAGAAGTATGGCATAATTTTTCCGAAGCATATTACCTTGTAATCTTTTGAAAAATTGAAATGCCATACTGTTACAATTCGTTTCGTTATTATGTTTTTGATCTTATCTTAGCGCACGTGTGACAGTCTTCAGCCCCATGGTATCAGTATGGGATTATTGCTTTCAGGTAGAATCGTATAGAAACAAACTTAATGCAATGATGCCATGCTGTAATAAATAATTCTAGATCTTGTATCAGTTGTAGCTGGAAGACGATTCCGAAAACTAATTTTCAAGTATGACACCACTTTTGCACTTGATTATAGGTATGGCAAATATATGAACGGTCGCATTGTATCATTACCTTTCGAAAAAACAAATGCCATACTGTTGCAAATCGTCTAGCATTATCAAAGAAATCTACGTCTTTGGGGCGGTATGGAGGCTACTTGGAACCATCGGAACGGTATGGCATGGTGATTTTCGTGAATGACTCCTCAAAGATGATCAGATAATAAAAAAATGCTTGTTACAAATAATCTAAAAAAATATTAAAAACTAACGCGCGCCGACTGGTATGGCGGGCAATAGGTCCCACCGCATTTTGCTTTCGACTATTTCAATTTTCATAAACTATATCGAAAAATATAAGAATCTTTGTGTTACAAATCGTTTGAAACCCGCAATTTATCTGACAAGTTCGATTAATCGCCATAGGATTAGGGCCCAACGGCAAGAAAGTTATCATCTTTTTCGTTTTCCTCATTACGTAATTCGACCCCTAGGGGGTCGCCATACCTGTTACAAATTACTAACTTTTTTGCTTTATGAGCTCTCGGTCTATACGTGAGTATCTGTCATGTAAATTGGAATCTGATATTCATGAGGTTAATGAAGCACTGATGGTTTTTATTATACAGGGTGTCCCAGCCAAAAGTGAACCATTTTAAATGATTATAACTTTTAAACTAGGAGTGCTAGCTACCTGCGGCTTGCGCCATTCGATTTCTCTTGGTCTAAAGTTTTTTCTAGTAGGATTCAAATTTTTTTGAAACTTATACAGGGCGAGTAAAAAAAATCCGTTTTTCAACATTGAAATTCTCCACTATTTTTAATGGAACACCCTGTATATCACAACATCAAAAAAAAGATTTATGTTCAAGGTATCCATGTACGAATAGACATAGTCCCTAAAACTTGAAGTTTTAGCAGTGAAAAATCAAAATCGAAATCTTGGTATTTTTGGAAACGCATATTTACAAAGCTTGGGACTTATGTTTTCCCAATAAAAAGTTAATAAAAACTGTATAAAACTATACAAAATGCTGTATATGTATATTTTAGCCATTCTGTTCCAGGCATTTATGGATCAGTGAACATTTTCTGGGGAATTGCTTCAATGACATTAAAAATGATCCGCTCAAGATCTTTCAGGCTATTTGAGCAAAGGATTACAGCATCTTTCCTTGACATAACTCCAGAGAAAAAAGTCTGGAACTCTCAAGTCAGGAGATTGAGGTTTCCATTCTATAGGACCTCCATATCTGTCCCCAAATGTCATATCTAGTGATTCCTCTGCTATTAAAGAATAATGAGGTGGGGGCACCATCCTGCTGGAAATAGATATCATCCAAGATGCCCTCCTGTCCTAACTGTGGAAAAAAGAACATATCGGTGTATACAATTTCTGTTATCGTTGGTTCATTAATGAAAATAGTCTGTATTTTTTCTTAATAGAGATTGCACATCAAACTGTTACTTTTGGGATATCTCTATTTGACGAGTTCTAGAGAAAATACTCTGGAACTCGTAAAATTTTCTTGGAAATTGTATTTCAACATAATTGATATCTAACTAGAGCGTTAGAAAATTCTTTGTCATAGTGATATCAAGTACCTACAACATGAAGTTGCACGCGTTTGCAAAGCTATCGAGATTTCGATTTTGATTTTTTACCTCTAAAACCTCAAGTTTTACGGACGATGTCTATTGGTACACGGATACCTTGAATAATAATTTTTTTTTTGACGTGATATAGAGGGTGTTCCATTAAAAATAGTGGAGAATTTTGATGCTGAAAAAACTGATTTTTTATCCCCTACCCTGTATAAGTTTCAAAAAAAATTGCAACCTACTAGAAAAAACTTTAGGCAAAGAGAAATCGAATGGCGCAAACCGCAGGTAGCTAGTACACCTGATTTAAAAGTTATAACCATCTAAAATGGTTCACTTTCGGCTGGGACACCTTGTATTTTATCACTAGTTATCTATGGTTAGTGAGAAAATATAATGAAAACTATTTTTTTTTCTACTACCGTGCATAAAGTACTCACTTCACGCACTATTCAAAAGACGTAAAATTTCACTTCAGGCACTAATGCGTAAAGTAATTCACTTTACACATTAGTGCCTAAAGTAATGTCAGTGACAGATGTCGACACTGTCAATTTAATTTTTTCCAGTAAATTTCTATGACCATTAAAAAATAAAAACAAATAAATGATTACAATTTTACGTGCAAACACACTAAACACGCTTATAATTTAATACTTTAAAGCATAATGAAATAACGTTGTTCCACGCAAAATTGTGTGAATTTTGCTTTATAATGTAATAAAAGCAAAATATAGTTATAAAATTATTGCAAAAACCAGAACGTCTCGGCGAGAGAACGTGATTGATAGATAGCGTTTTAAGTGAAGTTTGTGGATGAAACATGAAACATGGTGCTCTCATAAGGATTTCATTAGCAGATTCACGTTTCCAAGTGCCACCTATCAATCAGACCTCATACTATCCCCTCATTGAATTATTGATCTTCGGCGGACACATTATTTTGCGTATACGAGCAATTGTAATTGGCCACCGCTTCGCCGGATTTAACCGCTCCCGCATTTTTTCTTTAGGGCTATTTGTAGGAGAGAACTTTCGTCAATAAGCCAGGGACTATCCTCCGACTGAAAGACAATATTCGTAATGAAATCCGCGCCGTAACACCTGAAACTTTGCAAAAAGTCGTGCAACATGTGTCAGAAAGAGCAAGACTTTGCGAAGCAGAAAATGGGTGATGTAATTTTCCACGTTTCGTTCGAATCAGTGGGCATAAGTAACCTGGCAACGTTCAAGCTGAAATGCGGCGGGCGCCGTCTCGGGGGTCCTTATTCTTGAAACAGGGGAGCAGCGTTCCCGGGAGAACGAGTGTTCCGTCTTTGTTACTTATATTATCATTTGCATATCATTGAGAAAGACGGAACACTCGTTCTCCTGGGAACTTTGCTCCCCTGTTTCAAGAATAAGGACCGAGGTCGACAAGCATACTAAGTTACATATGCATACTTACTTACGCCCAGCCGGCTAACGTACGTGAAATCCGAGCGAAAGCAGTGGGTCTGACGCATGCACTGTTTTGAAGGCTGCCAGGGTGACTTATTATGCCCCCTGTACAATGTTAATATTTAACTCAAAAATAAAAAAGTTATAAGGCATTCAAATCATAAAGTTCATTTTGCGCCACCCTGTATTATAAGGATCATGCAAGTGTGCAAGTGAGTTACTAGCAAGCACAGGCGAATGAATTGCTGAGCACTTTTCAAATGTAAGAATGAGTACTCATACAATTTGTAAACATAGAATGTTGTTGGACATCAAACCGTTCCATTGTAAAATAAATCAATCTCAACAGGATTTGTGACTATACATATCATAAAAGAGGAGAACTCTCTGAGACACCTTGTATTCACTTAAATTAATTCAGAAGTCAAGCGCAGCTTACCGATTATTTCAACATTGGCATTAATTCAATGAATGGATTTAATGCATAGAGCTGATCATTATCTAAGTTATAAAATAAATCAGGCAATTCAGTCTCAACAGGATTTGTGACTATACATATTATAAAAGTACACAACTCTCTGAGACACCTTGTATTCACTTAAACTAATTCAGAAGTCAAGCGCAGCTTACAGATTATTTCAATATTGACATTAATTCAATGAATTTAATGCATAGAGCTGATCATTATCTAAAGAATAAACAACAATTTTTATACATTATGTCATAACATCTGAAACTTAGGGCCGGTTTATTCACCTTCTGATAAACAGTCAGGTATGCAATCTGGCGGATGAAATCGCAATCTGTAATCCCATTGGTCGCCAGTTATTCACTGACCAATAGAATCAAAGAACGGTAAACTTATCTTGCAGATTACCAGTAAGTTTTCTGAAGTTGAATAAATCGGGCCTTACACTGATAGATAAATTAGGGGTTCTTTTGTTTTTTAGCAGGACGACGTCTCTGTTCAGCTAGAAGCTCTCGAAATTATCGCCGATTTATTACTACGTTTTGGTCCATTACTGCAAACTTTCCACCAGCCAATCTTAGCAGCATTATTACCGCAACTAGAAAATCAGCGTCAAGCTGTGAGGAAACGTACCATCAGCGCTTTAAGTAATCTAGTTCTATCTTGCCACAATTCCCTTTATAACAAGCTGATTGAGTATTTGTATGATGGTTTACGTGATAATAAAGTTAATTCACAAACCCGTACTTATATCCAGTGTGGTTCAGCTGTATGGTAAGTGATATTTTAGAAATTATTTGTTTATATATTTTCAGATACGTAACGCTCAAATTCAAGTGAACTTTTAAGCATATACTTAATGGTCCGTTGATATCAACAGACGCATTTCGAAAATCGGTGTTTTTTTTTGTTGTTATTTAACTGATGAAATTTTTATTTGGCAAGTTCTCAGTGTAGTCCACTCGTCACCACAGTCCGATTTCTGATGGAACTTGAGTTATAACTAATTAATTTTTTTTCATAAACTTTCAATTATTTATTGATGATGCTACTAATTTTTCAAGTTAAACATCATATAAAGATAAATTTCGTTTTTGTTTGTGTTACATATTTGTAATATTTAATGAAGAAAATGCTTGAGCATCAAGGTATGCAGGGATGTGCTGTAGACTATGAAATCTACTTTACGCGGTTTGTCTACTCGTTATCTACGTATTGTTTACATTCACTTTTTTCCATGTAGACTATGTGAACTATGTAGACAATGTACCGTGCGTTCAATTTATCTTGATAACATTTTAATTCGCCGTAACTTTTTTGTTTTTAAAGATATCAAGGTAAACAAAAATACAAAATGTAGGGTAAGTAGCCAAGTTTTTTTTCAAGTCACATCTAAAACAAAACACTATTAATTTTCTGACATATCAGCCTACATTATATTTTGTTAAATGGAACACCTTGTATATTATATATGTGTTTGATAGAATATCTCATTCCGATCACAATGATATAACACACTTCATATTTTGGTCCACTGGTTTTTGACAAATCGGCAAAAATATGAAATTTTTATATACAGTGAGCACGTAAAGGTTGGAATAAAATCCATAAAATATACAGGGTTGATATTTTTTTAAAGAACCTCATCGGGCACGGCGATTTTAGATTTTAGTGGCCGTTTTTTTGATAATAATATCATGTATACAGGGTGACCCAAAAACAAGTTATGATACCTAGCATTATTTTTTTAAACGAAAACACCAATTTTTTATTTTATTTTCAAATTTTACATTAAATTCTGAACCTATTTTATGCATCATGTCCTATATCTATCTTCAACTGTTTCGGAAATATTGACAGTTGAAAATTGACTTTTTTGCAACTTTGACAGGCTGTGAAACCTAAACGGTTAATTTTAGAGAAAAACCGATCATAAGTTCTTTTCTTAGTTTTCCATAAACTATCGTTTGCCACTAACTTCAAGTTTAATCCATGATTCAAAATTCCGGTTAAACTTAATCTCCGGCCGGTTAAATTCAAAGTTGTCGTCAAATGATAGCTCATGAAAAAGAAAAGATGAGAACGTAAAATCGGATCTGCTCTAAAATTAACCGTTTAGGTTATGCACATGTAGCCTGTCAAAGTTGCAAAAAAGTTAATTTTCATCGAGGTAAATTGAACGCACAAAACACTATCAATTTTCTGACTTATAAGCCTACATTATATTTTTTTGAATGAAACACCCTGTATATTATATATGTATTTGATAGAATATCGTATTCCGATTACAATGATATCGGATCTTCAAAAAAAAAACAATCAAAGATTGTTATGGGTTTTTAAACGTATGTCTTAGAAATATTTTTATTTAATTTTGTCATAGAAATTTAATGTCAAAATGTCAAAAATCCTGACCAATAAATAAACAATAATGCGACGTAGGTACGTTTTCGTAATAAACGCAATCTTTGGTTGTTTTTTTTTTGTGAAGACCTGTTATGACACTCGTTTTTGACAAATTGACAAAAGTATTAAATTATAACATAATCTTGAAGAGTGCAGTGACAACTGCAAACAATAACTTACAAAATAATGACAAGAAATACTAAACTAAACTATTCTAAATACTGCTGTATGTGTCCGCCATTTTGCTGAACACATTTCTCATACACTCTAATCGTATGATTTCTTGCATTTATCAACATTAACGGATTGTTTCTTAACTGATCGATTGCCTCTGAAATCCTTTGTCGGAGTTTCACGACGTTATTACTAGGAGTTCTGTGGACGTAAATTTTTATGTATCCCCAACCGAAAAAATCCATTAAAGTTAAGTCCGGGCTGTTGGCTGGCCAATCAATAGTTCCACCATTTCCTATCCAACCCCTGGGATATTCCCTATTAAGAAAATTTTTGACTCGCACAACCTTGTGAGGAGGGGCACCATCTTGCTGCCATATAATGGGCGCTGATATATTTAGGGGTAAATCTTCTATATATTGTGCTATTTGGTGCTCTAAGAGATGATGATAATGATCTCCATTTAACTTTTGATCTATAAATATCGGGCCCAAAATATGTCGGTCTATAACACCACACCATACCATTATTGATTGGTACCCTTGGGTTTTTATTTCGTGTATCTGTCTAGGATTATTTACAGACCAATATCGCGTATTTTGTCTATTACAACCCTTTCTTGTAGTGAACGAACTTTCATCAGTCCATAAAATGTTTTTTAAGAAATTATTATTCTCATTATATCTATTTAAGAAATCCAAACAAAACTGCCTTCTCCTTTCACATTGTTCTACACTTAGTTTTTGGGTTTTACGAAATTTAAATGCATTATATTTGAATTCCTTCAAAACTGAGTAGATTTAACCCCGAGAAATACCTGTCTCTTGATATACTCTAGTAAGAGAAGAAACTGGATGTGCTTCATAGAATCCTAATATGTTTGCCTTATTTTCTTCATTTAAAACGCTATAATTCCTACATACCTTTTTAGCATTCAACACGTTACCGTTTTCTGAAAATTTCTTGGACAGCCTCGGAAATATCTGTTTTGAAGGAGCTCGGCGCTGTGGATAAAGTCTAATATACTCACGACGAGCAGCGGTTGCACTTTCATGATTCATGAAGTATACTTGAAGCATATCACTCCTTTCATGGATGCTGAATTCGCGAAAAACCATTTTGATAATAATAATAGTAACTGTGACAATAATTCAACCATCAACGTGTTTACCAATATTTCAAACCACATAACTTTCAAACATAAATATATTTGTCAAAAAGGTTGTCTTGGATAGTTTATAAACAAACCAGCTATTTTGGTCAGTGTATTTCAGTTTTCCCAATAATTTCAAGTAAATTAGCTGCTATTCTAGTAAAAATTGCATCTTCTGTTAAAATAGCCAATGGGTTGATTAGTTTGTAAACTATCCAGCTAGTTTACAAACTATCCAAGTTTGCATATTAACCTTAACATACGTGAGCACGTAAAGGTTGGAATGAAATCCATAAAATATACAGGCTTGATATTTTTAAAAAAGCTTCGGACACGTCGATTTTTGATTTTAGTGGCCATTTTTTGATGATATTAGCATGTATACTGGATGACCCCTAAAAACAGCTAACTTTATTTTTTTAGATGAAAACACCGATTTTTTATTTCATTTTGAATTTCTACATTTAATTCTGAACCTATTTTAATTGTGATAAAGTCAATTATCCACTGTCAATAATTCCGAAATAGTGGGATAGGTATAGGACATGATACATAAAATTATTTTATGTATCATGTCCTATACCTACCTATTGTTCGTCGATTTTTAACTAACACTTGCGGTATGAGGAGCGAGGGGGTGATTCATATGGCAAAAACAGGTGTGATGTCAGGTAACCATTGGCGTTCTAATGTAGGGAACCACCAGCTGACATTCCGTCCGAGTATCAGTTTAAAATCGACGGACAATATCTTCAACTGTTTCGGAATTAATGACAGTGGATAATTGACTTTATTGCAATTTCAACAGGCTGTAAAACCGATTTTACATTCTTATTTGACACCAACTTTGAATTCAACCGGAGATTAAGTTTAACCGGAATTTTGAATCATGGATTAAACTTGAAGTTAGTGGCAAACGATAGTTTATGAAAAACTAAGAAAAGAACTTATAATCGGTTTTTCTCTAAAATTAACCGTTTAGGTTTCACAGCCTGTCAAAGTTGCAAAAAAGTCAATTTTCAACTGTTAATATTTTTGGAACAGTTGAAGATAGGTATAGGTCATGATGCATAAAATAGGTTCAGAATTTACTGTAAAATTTGAAAATGAAATGAAAAATTGGTGTTTTCATTTAAAAAAATAAAGTTAGGTATCATAACTTGTTTTTGGGTAACCCTGTATACATGATAATATCATCAAAAAAACGGCCACTAAAATCCAAAATCGATGTGCCCAAGGTTTTAAAAAAAAGAAATATATCAACCCTGTATATTTTATTCCAACCTTTACGTGCTCACTGTATATAAAAATTTCATATTTTTGCTGATTTGTCAAAAACCAGTGGACCAAAATATGAAGTGTGTCATATCATTGTAATCGGAATGAGATATTCTATCAAACACATATATAATATACAGGGTGTTCCATTTGAAAAAATATAATGTAGGCTGATATGTCAGAAAATTGATAGTGTTTTGTTTTAGATGTGACTTGAAAAAAAACTTGGCTATTTACCCTACATTTTGTTTTTTAGTTTACCTTGATATCTTTAAAAACAAAAAAGTTACGGTGAATTAAAATGTTATCAAGATAAATTGAACGCACGGTACATTAGAGAGAAATTGCAAGTGCTTGTCTTATTAAGGCAAGCCTTATTTCGACAGCTGCGCATGCGCAGTTTCCGTTTGGAATAAGGACAGCCTTATTAAGGATAAGGATCTGCCTTATTTAGGAGAAAATAAAATCTGCCTTATCTTTGCCTTATTTAAAAGTTCTTAGTCGCTCGGCGATGATCGGTAGGAATCGCGAACTGAGTTTTATTATGTTTTGTGTTTATAACTATAGATTTTATTTTAGATCCATGACAACAAATTTTGACTTTTCTTGAATTTTTTTTTCCAACTTTGAGAAATGGGGCAAAATCAAAACAGCATCGAGGCACAGAAAAGAGGCAGAATAAAGGTTTGTTTGTTTGTGTCGCACTAACTTGAACTAAGCTGTAATATCTCAGCCCCAAGCAGCAAGCAGGAAGTGCTGCCCCGAACAACACAAACAAACAACCTCAAGGTTTACGTATAACGATGAACTGATGGTTTTGCTTAGAGAATTTGTGTCACTTTCCTGCCACACTACGATTTTACACGTACTATATAGATATTTTGAACAAATAATTTCTTATTTTCAAAATATCTAAGCATATCATAAAGAAAACACTTCAAGTTCAAAACTTAAAAAATAAACATTAACAAAAATTCAAGATTTTCAGGTTAGAAATAAGGCATCAACTCCCAGTCGTTTCTAGAAATTTGCAATATCTAAACTTGTCATTCGAAGTAAGGAAATGACCTATCGCGTCTAAATAAGGTTTTAGCCTTATTGAGGCTGATTTGCAATATCTCTCTAATATCTGCAGTTTATTAAATTTTACATAGCAAAAAACAAAACAAAGCAAAAACAGAAACATAACCTTGAAGGCCTGACAACTGTCAAAAATTGTATTCTCTACGCGTTGTCTACATATTTTACACGTTGTCTACATAGATTACATAGTTTACATTGTCTACGCGTTGTTTACACCAGAACGTAGATAATCTTTATTTACGCGTAGATGCCCGTCCCTGGGTATGATAATACTAATACCAAATTGATATTACAAAGAAAAATATATTTTCACCAATCCAAAACTAATAATTGAATTTTCGCATCTATATTAACAACATTTTGTGATTATTGAAATCGCTAGGAAATTGGCTGTGTCTATCTATCTGATCCAGCCCCAAACGACCATCTCATTCGTTTGTCTATGCTTCTCTATTTTTCTATATGGGATTCTCTATTTATGTACGGGGTGGTCCAATCTGGACACATTTTCTCGACTAAGGCGCGATTCATACTATGCATACCGGCACCGTTACGTCAACATACCGTCAAATATTCTTACATTGAAAGCAATGGTCGTATTCACCTTCAGGGATCCGTCACGTTACTGTCCGGGGCCATCAGGATTTTTTGAAGAGAATATTTGACGTGTCATTGACGGTACGGCGACGTGACGGTGCCGGTACGTATAGTATAGTATGAACTGCGCTTGAGATTTGAAGCCAGGAACCTCGCATATCCATGTCGGAAAAGCTAACGGGTCTTCAAAAAAAGACGACATCAAAGATGGTTATGATTTTTTAAATGTATGTCTTGGCAACATTTTTCTCAAATTTTGTCATTGAATTTTGTGTCAAAATGTCATGTCAAAAATCCTGACCAATTAAGAAACAATAATGCGACGTACGTTTTCGTAATCAAACCAATCTTTGATTTTTTTTTTTTTTGAAGACCTGTTAGCAACATATTGGATAGCAAGATCTTTAGGATACACCTCTAATTGTGCTGCATTATTACTGCTTTTCTCCTGCTTCAAACCGCAAACCAGCTGCATCCACCGTTTTTGAAATATATCGATTTCCATTCTGGTTGCTAACTTCAGCCTTGGCAACACTTTGGAAGCAGGACCGCTAAAACATGTTCCTGCTTATGCTGCTATGGTCTTGCTTTATACTGCTTCAAATCCGACCCCAGCAAAACGTACTATTTTCGAGACAGCGATTTTTATTTTGGCTGCTAACTTCACTCTTGGCAACACACTGGAAGCGGGATCGCTCAAACATGCTCCTGCTTGTGTTGCTATGGTCCTGCCTCATCCAGCTTCAATTTTCACCCCAGCAATACCTGATATTTTTGAGATACACACTGGTAGCAGTTACGTTGAAACAAATTCCTGCTTGTGCTACTATATTCCGGCTTCATCTGCTCAAACGCAGATGATTTTTCACATATACCATTGAAAGCTAAGTAAAACCAATGAAGTAGTAAGAAGGTTTGGAAAGGGCTTTGCGTAACTCAAATGATTCCAGAATGAGAAAGCGCTAGTAAGGGCAGAAATTCTCACGGATCTCTCCCGTTCTCTCACTCTAATCCTGACCGCAAATATACGTATTGAGTAGATAGGCAAGGGGCCATTCCAAACCGTCTTACACAAATTCAACGGAGATAAAGTTTTTAATAACTTTTATAGACGAACCAATCAACTACCTTACCTATATAACATATACATTTGGCAACGGCAGATGCTCCTTGGGCTCTTCATATTTCTACGACTAGACGCTTTTCTTGCAGATGCTATAGATTATCAAAAATGTCATCTTGAAGGATATTACCGAACTCTACTTATGTTAAATTAGTTATGTTAAACAGTTTCTCTCTCTCGCTTGGCTGACGTCGACTCGAGCCGGCTTTACCCGAATGAGCGCTACATAGCCGAGTGTGACGTGATGGCTTATTTTCATTCATTACCCAGGTAAAAGTGTGTTGAGTCGCCTTATGTGTCATATGAAAACAAAAAATTCTCACATCAACATATTATGAGTACACGCAATCTAGTACGTTAAATTACGCTTAACCGGTTCTCTCTTTTTCGCTTAAATGAAGCCGACTCGAGCAGACTTTACCCGAATGAGCGTATCATCAAAGTCTGTATCATAGCCGAGCGTGACGTGACAGCTTAATTTTGTACACTACCGCTATCCAGGAAAAAGTGTGCTGTGTGCGTGAAAATTTTACAAACAGAAACAAATTTAAATAAACGATTTTTTTTTTCAATAAATGAAAGAACAGAAATTAATAATTTCATTATAATCTATTCCTATTTATTACATCTGGATAATAACACTTCCTAATTTTTAATAATCAATACCGGTTTATTATCTTCTTCAATTTGTCAAGATTATCTTTCACTCAAATCAATTTTCAAAAAAATCTATTTACAAAAAAAAATTATTATACCTACATATGAAGTTTTTAGAAAAATTTATGTTATTTTATGAATGATAAATTACAAAAAAAAACAAGATCAGATCATAAACTCACTGCAAGGTATGGTAAAAAAATTATTATAATAATTTTTTTAATTTTTAGCTTCCTAGATAGGAAGCTATGGTGATAGGCCGATTTTGACCATGTCAAAATTTCATTAAATCTTGACGTTTTTGGATCATTTTAAGCCTTTTTGGCAAGGTGGCACATTTCCGTCTGTGTGTGTTTGTATGTGGGTGAGTATGTATGTGTGTGTGTGTGTTGGCATTATTCGGAGAAAACGGCTCGATGGAATTTGATGAAATTTTGGAAATAGGTATAAGAAGACGTGTAGGGAAAAGTTACACAGATATAGGGAAAAAGAAATTCCTCTCAAAGATATGACTTCATTGATCTTTTTTTTAAATGGGAACGCCATCTTTTTTCATTGATTGGATAGAGCTCATTTTGCTTTATATAATCTCAAAAATCTCAATAGGTTTCATTGGGACATTTTTGAAAAAAAAAATGAAGTATAAATTTGATGAAGCTAAGCAGCGTCGAGCGCGGTTAGTACTTGGATGGGTGACCACTTAGAAATTTACACGACGTTGCTTTTTTTGAGATCATAGCGTTTTAGGGTGCTTATTGAAGATTTAGAACGCCGGCTTGAGGTACCTTTTCAGTAAAACACTTTATGGGGGTAAACTTATCCTTACAAAAGGACCCTTAGGGTTTTTCGCTTATAATAATAAAAATAATAATAATAATTATTAATAATGAAAGAAAATTAGTACGAAACCACAGCAAACAATTACAGTTTACGAAGATATACATACAGATTACAAAAAGTCAGGGTATGTACAAATCAGCCTATTAATATGTTAGTGTGTTCTCATAATTTTGAATTTATTATATATAGTTAAATGACCATTAACATGAAAAATTATCCGTAATTTTGAAGCTCTCGTGGTATTATCCCCGAAAAATGATATTAAAACATGAAAAAATGTCAAGATTTATTAAAATGAATTCATGGTTTGAAATGACAATTAATGACAATGACAATCATTAATTAGGTAGTTATTTGTCTAGGAAGCGTTATGTCAAAAATTTGACATCTGGTTTTTATTTATTTTATACTCATTTTTAAATAATTTTATATTCTTTTTAATATTATAGCCCTGAAGAAGGAGCAAAATGTTCCGCAAGCTAGGCCTTTGTAAAAAGAGTTAATAAAACTATTGATTAAACGATTCCCTATTATTCACAACCTTATTAATTATTAGCGGTCGTTATCCATAAAAATAATTTATAATTAAAGTTATGTAAAAAACATCTACTATTTTCAATTAACCTTAGGACCAAGAATAGTTGGAGTATTTATTTCACATTGAATAAATACTTTATCTATCTTAGGCGCTTTGCATCCATCTTGGCACAGCGTGTTTCTGCAAAATATCGGAACAATGCAAAATTGGCTGTATTCAAGATAATTTTTTTCAAAAAATAAAACAAAAAGTCAATCTAAAGTAAAATAGCTAATATCTCTAACCTCAGTGTGTTTTATCCAGGAGCAAAATTGCAAATAATGATTTTTTTAAAATCAAACGCCATTTGTATTAGTCAAGTTCCATTGATCGGATACTGACAGGACTTAGTGCCACAATTGATTATTGCTATAAATAATTTATCCTGCGTAGAACTGTTGTCTTGATCTTTTGTGTGTACTTTTTTTTTAAATTTTTCTTGTTCGTTTTCAGCCGACAATCTGGTCATAAATTTGGGGAATACTTGGATAAATTTGTACCAATTGTTGTTCAGCGATGTGATGTTGATGATGAAGAGTTGAAAGAATTTTGTCTCCAGGCATTTGAGTGCTATGTTCACAAGTGTCCCAAGGAAATTACCCCAAATATTGGCAAGGTATATTTATAATTTATTACGTCCTTATTTATGTATAGGTAAATAAATATTGAAATACTTTGATAATTACCATATAGTTTTAACAGATAACTGAGTTGTCACTAAATTATATGACTTATGATCCAAACTATAACTATGATAACGATGATGATGAAAGTGATATCGACCATGAGCACGACGATGATGATGACGATGAAGAAAACAATGAGTACAGTGACGACGATGACATGAGTTGGAAAGTACGAAGGTCTGCTGCAAAATGCCTAGAAGCTGTTATAAAAACAAGACACGAGCTGTTGGCTGAATTTTACAAAGTCCTGTCTCCTGCATTGATTGCTAGATTTAAAGGTAATTCATCATATTTCTCAAATTCTCATTTTTGTATCTCTCTCAGAACTGATGAAATAGGAAGGGTGAATTTAATGTTAGGTAACATAAAACATTAGGAATACATTGTCTGATATAATTCGTAATAATATCGTAACACTCAGCAAACAAAACAAAAAAACGGTGAGAAATGTATTGTACGCAGTTGAGCTTTATTTTAACACACAAGAGAACAAATTCAGTTGGCCAAATTGTTTGTTCATTACTAAGTTGAAGATTTAGTTGGACAGGGAGCTCACCTTGCATTGTAGGTACATGTATTGTGTGTTCAAACAAGCCCTTATTTTGGTCGGCTACATATGGAACAACTTTCTGATTGTAGGATATGCGATTTTTTTATGAGCGATCGATCCTGCATGTCAGATAACCTAAAAGTATATTTTGATGCCGGTCACGTGTCATGGCGGCAAATTCGAAAATTTCAATATGGAAAATGGAAATGCGAAAAGTGGGATTAGATGGCAAAATATCGGAAAAATTTATTTGAAGAAAGTGTCTAAGACATTATTTTAGGGCTGTCTACGAGGTAATTCCTTATTAAGAGATTAATGGAGCAAAATATGACAAACAATTCTCTTAGTCAGTCTTATATTTTTTTCACAAAAACGTACGTCGGATTGGTTTGCATTAATAAATGTCAAAGTGATAAATCAAAATTTAAAAACTTCTATATCTCGGTTATAACAACAAATTAATTCATCTAGTGGAACTTGTCATAGGATTTTAAGGAAATATTTGCATTATTAGAAACTTTTTGCACCTCTTATTTTGCCATTCCGCTGTGGTTATTGTTATACTGAGTACGCGCAGTAGCAAAAAAATGTTCGTTGTACTTATCAACCAAAATGAGCGGCCTTATTTGAGGAGGAATAACCTTGTGCCTATAGCTATACCTATGGTTATGGTAAAACTGCATGAATGAGACATTGAAGAAAATTGATTGATTGATCACAATTTGCGTTTTTAAATAAAAAATAGACTCAACCACCGCCTACTGCTTTTTCCAGGTCTCTTTCTTTAGTTTCTTCCACTTATTATTTATTCATCCAACAAGATATGGCAACGTTGTTAAATGAATGAACATTAACCCTATTTTTTAAGTTTGTTTACTTTTTTTTCCAAATCAAATCAACGGAATTAGCAAAAACTCAATTTTCCTTTCGAAAAATTTTCTGTTCGAACAATTTTCCTTTCGAAAAATTTTCTTTTCGAATAATTTTCTGTTCGAACAATTTTCCTTTCGAAGAAGTTTCCGTTCGAACAATTATTTTCGAACAATTTTCCGGGACTCGATAAAATGTTTGCTTTTTTATCTAACCAATTCGCAAATTCAGCAAGTTTATGTATTTAGGTTTTGGAACTTTTGAAATATTTTCTTACCGATGATATTTCGTATAACATGATGTCAGTAATTTGTTGAGAAGTTCATTCAATAAGAATGGACTATGAAGATGATATGCTTTGCGTAATAATTCTATTTTAGCTACAAAATATTTAGGTTCATCATCAAATTCAATTTGCTCCTAAACTCAACTTCTTTATTTTGCAAAGAAGTATTTGTTTTATTTGATCAGAGCGTCCAAAACGGCTTTCCAAAAGAGAGAGAGCTTTTTCCACATTTTGTAGCATGATCAGTAAGGACTATATAACTTTGTAGGCGTTGAGTTCAAAAGCTAATTGTAGTCCTATTTGATATTCCTCATTGGTGAATCCACAAATTAAATTTGAATTGCGGTACTGGCTAATAAAATTGGGCCAGTGCATGGGATTACCAGCATTGATTGCCTAGTAAAGTTAATATTTTGGAGAACTGAGAAATGTATTTCATTTAAATTTTTTGAAGGGGAACATCCTTTAAGTAGCTTACAATTTCTGGGAACGTAATTTCTTACGGAAATATATTCTTTTTTCTGTCACCGAATATACCCGGCTGTCAAACCTGTCATTATTATTCCATTGATCCTGGGCTTTTACCCAGTCATCAGTCATCCAAGTTAGGTCCTATAATGTATCGACGACCCTGAATCCTCTTCACTTTCTTCTTTAATTTCTGCCAACTTCAAAGCTAATTCCAGTTCTAATATTTCTTACTTTTTCTTGAGAACTTCCCGATCCAACTGCATCTTATTTAAAGCATTTTTCATTTTAAATTTTCTCAGCTTTGCTTTACTGTCACTGTTCCCTTTTGACTTGGAATTTGCTTCAGTACTATTTTTTGACTTTGCCACACCATTACCAGTGAAGTGTACATCAGACTGTGTAGCCAAAATATGGAAAAACAACTCCACAAATCTTTAAGTGATCGATCGGAGAATGTTTAGGACAGCTGTGAGCCAATTCTAATTTGTCGTTTTTTTTTGCACATACAAAGCGTTTCACGAAAATGGGCCTGTGTGCGCATGTGCATGGGATGCTGTTGCTACCTTAAGGTATAGGTACTTTGAAATAAAATAAACTATACATAGGAAATCAATATAAATATCTTAATAAGCACTAAGACTTTATATTACATTATTACCGCATACGGAGGCAAATTTGTATTAACATTTTTTCTTTTTTCCATTTCTGAAAAACCCAGAAGAACGCAATAGTTTCTTTTTTTGTATAACGCAGTACTTTTCAAGATTTTCGGTATGGATTCTGTGCGCCCTGGCGAAGGCGCCGCGCCGCTACAATATTTATCTCGTGGAGAAGTACATTTTAAATATCTAATAGCACCATAGATTTAAGCATTATTTCAATGTTAAAAAACGCCTTATGAAAGTGAAAAGTCAGAGTGTATTTCTGAATCTTTATTCCACAAAATGGTTTTAAACTAATATTCGCCACATTACAAGTAGTATCGGTACAGTACATGATGGAAATATTGATGAACAAGATTGCCAATACCTACCAAAATCAAACTAAAGAAAAAAATCCAGGATCCCGCCAAAATAATTTTCAGTGCCTCGACCAGAAGAAATTTCATCGATATTGGCTGGAAATGTTTTGAAGCAGCCTTGAGAGTGCCTGTACATACATCACTTAAACATATAAGTTCAAATCTTTCATTCAGCACCGAACTTATCAGAAACCCTTTGTGCATTTTCTGCTAGATTGAACGATGTTGAAATGCGGAGTAGTTCTCACAAGTCTTAACGATGCAACATCGATTTCAGTTAGTAAAATAGACCAGTAAGAAGCCACAAATTCAGCCAATAAGAATAATTTTGTATCATTGTATGACAGATGCATGAAAAGCTACCCTGAGGAAGGGTACATTATCGTATTGTTTTTGCGTTCTCATCCCTATCGCTGCGTAAATAGGTCTTGTAATTTTTGCGTGTGTATATGACGTCACGCGATGAATAGACAAAACTTTATTTAGGCGCATCTACCTTATTATTTTGACTATTTTGAGTAGCGATGTGAGATTTTCACAAAAGCCTTAGAATTTTTTTCTTTATTTCCTGAACTAAAGTTGTATTTTAGGGTTACACCCCCTTCAAAACGCTGCAAGCCTGGTCCAGTTCTTCTTGTCTTTGGACTTCTTCTTATTCAACTTCTTTCTGTCTTCATGCTTCCTCTTCTTTGTTTTTCTTCAAGCGAATAATTATTTAGGTCAAACATTGGAATTCTGGAATTACCTCGCTTGGCAGCCCTAAACAGCGGTATCGGCACCAATGTAATTTCTCAACAGTATCTGTCTTCGTTTCCTATAATGTATTCTGTACACATTTTGAAATAAATACATGGTTTATCTATTTATCCGTTTATGATATGAAATACCTACTTATTAGGAAATATGTAATTTTTGCTTTTTTAAGTTTTTTATTATCTATATACAGGGTGCGGCACTCAAACCTGCAATTTTCAAAAAACAGCGGGAGCCAAAAAAGTGGAGTTGTAAAGTTTACCATTGCGTTCTCCCCTTCAAAGCATTTTAGTAGCTATGGAACAGTGTTCCAAGCAAGAACGGTCCCAGTCTAACCTGCATTTTGGAAATAACTGTAAATAATACACGGTTGCATTTTTCAAAATGTTATTTAAGAAACATTATTTATTTGACGGATTCTCACCTTCAGTTCGTCAAGAGTACGAGGCCGTTATTCAAAAACTTAGCTCTTTAGGTAGCCCCACAAGAAAAAATCACATGTGTGGAGGTTGGGTGAACCAGCAGGCCAAGGAAAGGAAGTGGCGTTGAGCGGCTGAATAACTACCACTTTGATAAAATGCCTTCACGACAAAGGACCGTTCTTACTTAGACCACTGTTCCATGGCTACTAAAATGCTTTGAAGGGGGGAACGCAACGGTAAACTTGACAACTTGCCCAGCCCATTTTCTTGGCTCCAGCGCTTTTTTCAAAATTGCGTGTTTTACTGCCGCACCCTGTATAAAACACACAAAATGTTTCTACCTACCTATGTCAGTTATAGACTTTGAAGCCATCCAACCGATGTGCCCCAAACCGGTTTAATTTGAAAGGAATTAATGCGAAGAGGGTTTTAGACCACTAAAACAATGCATTAGGCACATTCGGTCCATTCATGTAGTCGATTTCCGTCTTTTCCCATACAAAAATGTTCGACCTCATTTCACCTGTAGCTTTCACCTTTACAGGTAGGATGGTTCACAAAATGTAAGTCAGTAGGAAAGTATTTCTACAATTTTAAGGGACATATGCAATTCAATTTAATTCATTATTGATAAAAAGTTAATAGATAAATAAAATTTCCTTTTTTTTCCAACAAATAAACAAACTCTATTTCCTTTTTTAGTGTAGTAACACACGCTGGGTATCCGCAAGTCACCTATAATTTAGATCTAGGAGTATTTAGTTCTGTCATAACCGAAGAATATAAAATATTCTACTTGTTTTTTTCTTTAAGAACGCGAGGAAAATGTAAAATCGGACATATTCCACGCATACATAGCCCTACTGAGACAAACCAGAGCTACTGTGAACCATAATATTGATCCAAACGCTATGATTATGGATGAAGAGGAAGAAACTCCAATGACTTTACTTCAAGGCCAAATTGGGAGCCTTGTTAAAGGAATTCAGCCACAAATGAAAGAAAAAAGCATAAAAACTAGGTAAAAACTAGTTTTTGTATTTAATTTTGTTAATAATAAAACTGATTATTTTAGGCAAAACTGTTTCCAACTTCTAAAAGAAGTATGCTATGTGCTTCCGGGTGCTCTAGGCAATCACATTGGTAACTTGGTTCCTGGCATCATATATTCTCTTGGCGAGAAAACTGCCAGCAGCAACATGAAAATCGATGCTTTGTCATTCATCTATTGTTTAATCACAACTCACTCGCCAACGGTGTTTCATCCTTATATTAACACAATCTTGCATCCTGTCATAGCAGCTGTGGGAGATAGCTTCTATAAGATATCGGCCGAAGCTCTTGGGGTTCTTCAAGAGTTGGTTAAAGTTCTGAGACCTATGCAGGTAAATGACACATATAGACTATTGATCAATGATTCAATTTAATCCCGACCATCTAATACTGCCACAACACTACTATAAAACTATAATTTTATATAGTTCTTCTGGCTTCCTCCTCGCTCCATATCCTGGCATCTCATAGTTCTGATTATTCGTCAATGGGTTAGAAAATATTGAAAAGCTATGACGCAAGGTAAAATATTCGCTGAACGAACTATATTTTTATTGTAGCGGTTTATTATTGGGTTCTGTGTGGGTTTCTTTCATTAATTTTTGAAATTGGCATACCTAATTGAATAAATATAAAAATAAAGAATTTTCTGCGCCCTCACTTTTGAAAACCCTAGAGTCCTTCTTTTGACGGGGAGTGTAGGGGGGAAGGATGAGGAAAAACTCGATCAGTTAATATAAAAATATGTATATTTGCTCTACGGAATCCTTACATGAATCCTCCAGGATGCATACCTCTACCTTGCGGAGTCAGATATTGCCAATGTTACGTTGATTTCTAATAGTTGTTCAACTGATCCTCGCATCTAGAAGGGCTTTTCCAGAGTGGCGGTACATCGCACCAGATGACGATGCAGTTACCCAGAGGGGCGGTACTAACACTGGTTCAAGTCAGTCTGTTGCTTGTCTCGGCCCGCTATTGATATGAATTTATTGATGAATGATCTGACAGAATCGGTAATTGATAAGGTTGCCCTCCTTTTCTAAGTAGCTAGTTGACAATATGGGTGATTCTGATTCCGAGAAAGTTGCTTCAGATATTGAAACAGCATCATTGGAAAGGTTCTCCTGGTAACTAACTTTGTTTTTGTAAAAATAATAATTATAATCCTATTCCAAAATGATTGAAAAACCTGTACCTATATGAAAAAAATACAAACAGTGAAATTTCAAGACATATAAGAGAAGAACATGCAACATCTTTACATAATCATTCAAGTTGTCCCTGATGGAATCAAACTAAAGAAATACTCGAGTGTTTTTCAACACTCAATGGAGAACCAACAGATGCACACATGAAAAAACAACAACCGAACATAGAGCATTATCTGTGAAACCATTGAAACTATAATTATTTAACTTAGGATATAAATATAATTATCATTCCAATCATTTAAATTATATTATACACCATTATCATTCCTTAAATCATCAAAATGGTGAATTTGTTGGTGGGCAGTTGTTCAATTAATTACCATCGGAAATTTGGATGATCAACAGTTGATGACGGTTTTGGAATGAAGTCACTTAGTTAATTATTGTTGGTACTATGATATAAATGTTTCTCAATTATCGCTTTTAGAGATTCAAGTTTATGCATAATTCCTATCCTAATTGCATCTTTTTTTGTTTCCTCTGTCTTTTAACTTGTGTATCATTCGTCTAATGTTGTGGTGGATGTTTTTGATTGTTTCAATACGGTTTGCTATGACTGATCTTGTTTATTATCCTGAACCAAAGTTCTTTTGGAAACATTTTCCATATGAAAATTCCGATAAAATTCATCGCACTTTCTGAATTGCTAAAGTACTTTAAATGAATTGATTGTTAACGCATAAGCGCGGTGGGTCGGGTCACCCATTCGGGGCCGACTCATCGTTGTAGAAAGGTGCCAACAATTTTTATACGTTCCTATGACATTTTGAATGCCGCGTTTTTGCGAAGGTATTCTGAACTTCTGAGCAAAGAGAAATTGAAGCTGTTGTTCAATTATTTAAGCATTTTAGAGGGATGGTTTGAACCTAAACTAGATAAAACACGCCGACCACCTCCGTGTCAAGTTTCATCCTCACGAAAAACGTTTTTTTTTTTTTAATACTAGCCCGAAGTTTGTTTATCTCAATATTGGATAGGTCTTCGGAGAAATGGAATTTTTGAACGTACCTATCTAAAATACGAAGGGTGGAGCTCAAATTAGATAACGTAATAAGTAAATGTTCCTGAAGTGGATTCTTGCAATTGTTAATAAGGCTTGTCATAGCACAACCAGTCACATAGACCAACCAAGGAAGGAGTATTTGGTAAAATCATCCAGGGGGCCAAGTTGTCTAAATTTGCCATTTGTTCTGTTATTTTTGTTAACATTCCATTTTTTTTTTTAGGTTTTTTGCTGCCATTGATATATGAATGCCGTGACTCCCCAGGATAAAACGAGTTGTTTTTTACGCAGCGCAGGGAGCCACGGCATTCATATATGAATGACGAATAGTTGGGTTAGGATTTGTCTCGGGATTTGTGCATCAAGCGAGATATTTCGCTTCAGGATATAGGTTATTATTTATGTAAGCTTGTTTTTACATTATCCTCAGTTGTTTTGTATGTTAGCTTTCTTTTTACTAGAATTTGCATTTAAGATATTATCTTTTAGGATACATTTTGTTTTATGTACAAGGGGTACACCAAAAGTTTCGTGTTTATTTACTATTTATGGGCCATTTTTTTTGTTAATCACTGTAAAATCAGTATCTTACCGGACAAACCAAGTAGAGTGAACAGCCCCTCATCCATATATGAATGCCGTGGCCCATATAGGAAAATATTAGTCATTCATGTATAGATGACATGTCAGTCAAGGTGTTAATTTAGAAAAAATAAAAGTTGTTTATATTGACTCAATAGCATTGTCACCGCTTCCAGGTACACTAAAACTCACTTCACAAACAGTAACAACTTTATTTTATTAAACTAATTGACTTTATATAAAATTCACTTATCATTTATCCAAACGTACACAACAAATCACGATTCAAAAACTAAAACTAAACTTATTACTACGCGCCATTTATAGTCGAAATCGCACTCGGGATCTATCCAGAAAAAACATCGAAACCTGTCAGATGTACCACCTTCATCTCACCTTTCGGGCCGCGTTGGATTCGATACACCACGTCGTTTAGTCTCGTTAATAATCGTGTACAGGCCTTCCCATACTGGTGTTTCCTTGGGAGATCTACCTTTTGTTCTTTGAGCCGGGTTATTGAGCTCGCCTTGAGATCATCTAGGGGAGCACAGAACTCGATCACAATGCCGCGGTTCTGGTCTTGTGAATGCCTAGCAGTTCGCAAAGTTTTCAACTTTCTCCTGACAAGTATATATTGTCAACTAGCTGCTTGGGAAAGGAGGACCCGGTATTCAACCTTATTAATTTAATTGCCGATTCGATCGAATATTTATTGCAATTCAGCAATAAATTAATATAAATTGCGCTGCAAGCCGCAGCAAAGGTAGACTTAAACCAGTGCAAGTACCTCTCGTTGGAAAAGCCCCTCTGGAATTAAGTCTCCCCAGTGCAAGTACCTCTCGTTGGGAACGCCCCTCTGGGTATCTTCAGCCTTATCGTTGTCCAGTGCAATTACCTCTCGTTGGGAACGCCCCTCTGGACAAGGCATAAGGGTGACGATAAACTTATCTACAGTCCCCCAAGCAGAATTGACGTGTGGCCCCCTATAAGGACCCCAGTGTACGAAGGGTCATGTACCTTATAGAATTAGCATACATGTAAGGTTATATTTGGGAAAATATATAGCATATATTTTTATATAACCTGAGCGAGTTTCTCTCCATCTACCCCCAAAGCTACAAACCCCCCATGTCACCCCCGTAAAGCGGGTAGTTGTGACAATATTTCTTGGCGAATACTTCCAATTTCTTCACGTAGGTACTTCTTCCATTGCATTCGTGAATTTGTTATTTTCTACTTCCAGAATTTTCTTGAGTTCTTGCGTCTAGTTTGTTCCTCAGAGATTCACGCTGAAATTTGAAGTTTTCCGGAAGCTGATCCTGTTCTTCCTGTTTCTCTTTCTGTCTTCCTCTTCTTGTCTCTTGTCATCCAAATTTCTCATGAAGTCCGCCAATATTTGATTAACTTTTTAACCATTTTGGCTGTTTGCTGTCGTGTATTATTCACAATGGAATATTCTGTATCTTTCTTGAAACTTGATTTTGAATTTAAAGTTCTATGGCTAAGTCAAATTTCCAACTAAAACACGATGGAATCCAAATAGTTTAAAAGTTTCTAGAATTATCCAAAAAATCCGATGTCGAAGCCAGTATTAGTCACTATTCTTGTATCACTTACGGTTCCCACATTCCAAATAGAATTCTATAGAAGTTTCTAGAACTTTTCAGAGACTCCACTTGTGAACTTGTTCTCCGATGTCCAGTCCGGTAATAAAGTCACTATTTCAGTTCAAGAAAAGTTCACTGATTAATCCCACTAATTAGCTCAAATTAATACACTAATTATCTTGCTAATAATCGCACTAATTAGCTCAAACTAGTCCAGTAGTTATCTTGCCAACTATTTCACTATTCAGCTCAAATTAATGCACCATTAATTATCTTGTTAAATGATCCTACTAATTAGCTCAAATTAATGCACCAATTGTCCTGCTAATAATCTCACTTCCGACACCAAATTGTCACAGATTCCGGATTCACTAAAACTCACTCCACAAACAGTAACAACTTTTATTAAACTAATTGACTTTATGAAAAATTCACTTATCACTTATTCAAACGTACATAACAAATCTCGAATCAGAAACTGAAACCGAACTTATACCTACGCGCTATTGGCGAAATCACATTCGGGATCTGTCTAGAAAAACATCGAATCGAATATAATTGAATTCCTAGAAAAGGCGCGCTGCCCGTCGTGAATAAGTACCTAATTTCTTAAAATCCCGGCCGGTTTGTCGATGCATTTCCGTAGCAGTATCATTGGTCAAGAATGTGTGAAGCCAAACCGTCTTTTCAAACAAGTTGATCATTTATTTCAGTGGAGAATTATTTTGCCCTAGGTCAAAATTCGACATGGCCAAAAACCATTCAAACTGCAACATACCATATAAAGCGCAATCTGCAGGGTTCGATTCGGAGCTGATGTGTTTCCATAACGAGGATGGAATTTTATCATGGATCCGAGCTAAATAATTTCCAACAAATGTGCGCCAGAGGTGTGGTGGTACATTTCGCCCAAATAAGAGTAACTGTATGGGTGGGTTCCGTTGTCAACCTTGGTTACGGTTACACGTTCCGTAATGTCTGGTTCCTGAAAAACCGGTCTATACGGAACGCGGTTGGTTATGTCAAACATGTCACCAAGGCAACCGGCGGCGATTCTGTGATTGGAAAAGCGTTCCGTATTAAACCGAAATTTTCAGCAACCGCTTGTCAATCGTTGTCAACCGCTGTCAACCGACATTGTACCGACCGGTTAACCAGGTTAGACAACGGAACTCACCCTATGTTATAATGGTGATACTGATCTAGTAGCTAAGGGCAAATATGTCAGTGAACTAGCTGAGGTTGGAGGGAAACGTTTTCAATAAGGTTCGCAGAAAGCAAGCTTATATGAAATAAATACAAAACAAACTCTATTATTTCAAGAAAACTCTGCAAAAAGAAATGCCATCCAGCTTGCAGTTATAAGATGGAAATATGAATTTTGTTAAAGAAGTTTATTTCTTGGTTTTAATGATTGATGAATTTCTAAACTCTGTAACCTCTATAACAAAAAGAAGGAATCAAAGATACATTCTTCCTGACAAAACTTTTATTGCGGAATGGAAACCAATTTTCATCTCCTTAACTGGTTTGGGAACCTATTGTAACGTTTTTCATTACTTTGGATTTTTTTTTATTTTTTATTTGTCAAACACATTGTGTTTATTACATTACAATCTAGTCAGTAAGACTAATTAGCAATTTTGTTTTAACCTAATTTACTATAAAGTTTACAATTCTTGAGGTTCACTCAACAGTTTTCCCCACTTTGCTTAAACTGTAAATCACAATTTTGATGTGTTTATAGCACTTTGGAATAAAAAGATGTTATTGCTTACAGCAGCTGTTCATCGGAAAGCATTTATGGTCGTGTTCAAGCAGAGTTTACTGAGGGCGCCACGAAGTTTTTATTTATAAGGTCTCAAACTTCGAAATATGAAATCTGAAATATTAGGTATAGCAAGAAATAAAACAGCAACGCTCTCCACTTAATTATGTTTAGTAAAAGTTTAATGACAAATTACAGAATTTAGGATGTCAATTTAATAAGTATCATGAATGTAAGAATAATTTAATTCCAACCCAGTACTACACTTAACTAATTACTATTGTGTAAAATAATAATAATGATCGATCATTTTATTTAAATTGGGACCTTTTTTACTGGTCTATCTGCCCTTAAAACTCATAGGCTCAACCGGAGAGCGAACTGAACATAGAAATGAGTCATTCTATTTATTAGGGGATGCTCAATAAAAAATATATAATATAAAATGACCTCGTTTGGTCTATCTACTCTGAAAATTCATATGTGCAGCCGAACAGCGAACTGAACATAGAAATGAGTCAATCCATTTAGATAATGCTCAATAAAAAAACTTGAAACGACTTCGTTGAGTATTCTGCTTTAGAGAAGCATGCCTTCTTTATTGAACTGGCCCTTGACTAGGCCTGGATGTAGGGGTAGGAGTAGGACCCTATCAGAAAACTAAAATACTGATGGTCTCTTTAAAAAAAAAAAAGAAAAAGTGAAATAGACAAAAAGCTTGTCTTTAAAGCTTATAATAAGACGCAAAGTACATGACTCACCCTGGACAAGGGGCTCCTATACCATGATACAGGGACTGGCATCATCAGAGGTGGTTGCAGATCAAGATAAGCTGGAGAAATAATCATAAACTTGAGGGATGTTCAAGATGAAAAAGGATTTGTCACATACCTGGCATGCTCCAATAAAATCACAAAAAAGTGGCCGAGTGGACGAATAAACTATGTATTTAATTGTTAGAAAGATTTTTTTTTTCAGGTAATGACCAACGTGAATACAGGAACACAACGGTCCCTGTTTGGGAATCGACCCACTGAGCAGTGGACCTGTGTTCACGTTGGTCATTACCTGAAAAAAAAATCTTTCTAACAATTTTCATTGCCAACGAAAGCTCAGACCAATCAGTGTAGTTCAACGCCGGTAGGGGTATTTGCCCTCGGAGTAGTTGTTTCTGACTGGTCAACGAAGTTTAATTTTGCTTGGACAGGGAGCTTCAGCCTATGTCCTTCTGATGAGTCCTAATAAGGACGAAACGCGTCAAGGATTGGCACGGGAAGTCTGGGTCCACTGCTCAGTGGGTCGATTCCCAAACAGGGACCGTTGTGTTCCTGTATTCACGTTGGTCATTACCTGAAAAAAAAATCTCTCTAACAATTTTCATTGCCAACGAAAGCTCAGACCAATCAGTGTAGTTCAACGCCGGTAGGGGTATTTGCCCTCGGAGTAGTTGTTTCTGACTGGTCAACGAAGTTCATGTATTTAATTACCCATAAATGGCACTCCGAACGACCGAGAGAAATTTGTGGGATTCACCCCATCAAGAAACTTTTTAGAAAACTCAGCACGTTTGCCAAAAATCAAAAGGACGTCACTGACGTCGACTCGCTTAAACAAGCCGCCGAGAAAGAGTGACCTGTCCTAAAGGAAGGCCGTGCGCAATTCAAAAAATTGCAGCATGAAGCTAGTCATAGTACGTACTTACATAAAAATCAGGTTGACTCCTAATTGCAATCTAAACCTAAACTCAATTGGAAATAGGTATACTTGCTTTAAATGCATTACAATAATTAATATATACAGCAATACCGGTGATTACAATTAAAAACACCTAAAATATAATAAATTTAAAGGCTTAAAATAATAATGAAATGACAAACTAGCTTAATTGCTACACTATTTACATATTTTTGACAGATATTAGGAAAAATACCAAACTTTTATTCAATACCTGCTGGAAACCAAAATACCAACACTTGACTATTGATAACTCATGCGACTTGGCCAGTCAGTCAGTAAGATTTGGAATTCGTTTCATAGGTTCAAACCAATTTTCCACCATACTGACTGAATCCTGGACATGCCTTTCTTAGCATGTGCTCTTGATGTTCTAATTTTCTGACAGGTCACAATAAAATATTTTGTACAGTTAACATTTATCAGAATTAACTTTCCTTATACGTTCAACTTCCTCTCCGCCAAAAGTTTTGGACTTCTCTAGGAATTAATGAATTTAACTAGTGAAGAATTTTTTTATGCCGCATCTCATTGAATGCTTTATGAATAATGCGACTGCTCTTTTATCAACTTTTTATGGAGGTAGGGTAGCCTTAGTGTTGGTGAAGTGATATCTGTCACAAGAAAGTCAATGTGTATGTGAGATGGATGGGTGTGGAGTGGAGACTAATGACCTAATATCACAGATAGACAGAGTATAATTATGTGTTGACAACATCTCTGATCCTTACTATCTTTGCCGATTATTTGTATCATCCAAGCATGTGCTTGAGTAGGCGGGTGACACCACCTGATATATATTCAGTGAGGATAATCAGGATGTGCTTTTCAGAAAAATTACAATCACAATTAACACCTTTACTCGAAAAACTATATCACCCTTTCTTTTGTAGCATATATGCGAAGACTATATACTGAGATGGTTCTTAGATTTCCTAGTACATTTTGGTTCAGCATTTTTCGTATATTCACGATGGAAACATCCCCAAATCGTGTTGATTCCATTTTAAATCTTGAGAACATTGTCGGAGTGCTCATGCTGATCAATGTTTTTTTAGAGTTAATATTATATTTATTTTCCAAAATTTAACTCACCTACTCACAGACTCACAGTGGCGCAGCCAGGGGGAGGCCAGGTGGCCTGCCCCCCCCCCCCAGGCTTCAGAGAAGACTAGAAAAATATTGAAGTAGACGAAAGCTTAAAACTGCTCATATCAGAGAAAAAGTTTAAAGGAAAGTGGATCTGTGTTTTCTTATAATTTTTTCTGCATCTCCCCAGCGCCCCCCCGCCCAGACAAAATTTCTTGCTGCGCCACTGCCTACTCATCACACTTTATAATCTTTAATTGTTTTTTTTTTTTTTTTTTTTCAGGTTCATACTGGATTCGATTTTACCCCCTACACAAAAGATATTTATTCCTGCACTCTTTTGCGTCTAAAAGCACCCGACATCGATCAAGAGGTCAAGGAAAAAGCTATCTCCACTATGGGCCAAGTTATTTGCAACTTGGGGGACCAACTGAAAAGCGAACTACCACAATGTTTGCCTTTATTCTTGGATAGACTCAGAAACGAAATTACCCGACTGACAGCTGTGAAAGCTTTGAAAAAGATAGCTGGCTCTCCACTGGGTATTGCTTTGCCAATACTACCAGAAGCTATGCCTATCTTAGGATTATTCCTAAGGAAAAACCAGAGAGCACTAAAGTTATGCACACTTCAACTTATTGACTGCTTAATCCAGAATTATCATAAAAAGCTTAATGTACAGCTTATTAAACCGATTATCGCCGAAGTTCCTCCACTTTTGGATGAAGCTGATCTACATATCGCCCAGTGGACTCTGATTATTTTAAAGTCTATTGCTGTATATCATCCTAAGGCACTGCGTGATGTTAATACTGGAATAATGCCCCAAATACTGATTCTTGTTAAGAGTCCTTTATTGCAAGGTAAAGTACTTTTTAAAAAAGCCCTGTTTTGCAATTTATCAAAAACATAATGTCACGAATTCCGCGTGTAAACTAAAAACTCACTTCACTTATAATAACAACTTTTATTGAACAATTGACGATATAAAATTCACTTATCACCATATCAGCATCGAAAAAATTTTCAAAATTTGAAAATTGGAACTTATAATTTACAATTAGCCACCAGTAGTAGGTTTCTGAATACTTTTGATCATTTCGTAAATAGAGCAAAAATCACAAAAACATTTATAAAAAGAGAAACACAGGTAAAACCATGAATAAACGCAGGCCTAATCACATTTTTAAAACATAGAGATAAGAAAAAGATTGTCGCGACATTATTCTCATGAACTAGAGCCTCAATTTGAAACGTACAGAAATGGGTTGAATAAGCTAAGGAAACCAAAGAAATACTTCTATCTAAAGCAGATTCAAAATAGTAAAAACGATCTTGAAAAAATTTAAGCACATTATTAAAACATAGAGATAAAATTTAAAAAAAAAAGAATAGCTCGACATTATTCCCATGAACTAGAGCAAATAAGTTTAGAACGTACTGAATGAGTTGAATAAGCTCATTAGGAAACAAAGAATGACTTCTGTCTGAAGCACATTCAAGGCAGTAAAAACTATCTTAAGAAAATTCACTGGGTAATTGCAGAGGCTACAAACGAAAAAAACTCGCTCTGAAAATGCATTTGAGCTCATTAATGATATCCTGGAGGAGGCAAAGGCCTTCTACACTGTTAATCAAGGGATACTTATAGAGCCTCTAGAGCCCTACGGAATACGTGCTAGATATCTTTCATGTCATGTACTGATATTTTGTATATAAGAATTGGCAATGTAGCCCCTTTTAGTAGTTATTGGTACCTTATCACTCGGCTTATCGTGGCTTATATTAAGATAGCTCTTCACTGAAAATTTCTGTTTATAATAATAAACTAATTGTCTAAACGTATATAGTTTATTATTCAAAGCTAAAGCATCACATTTCGGAGCTATTATTATTGACTCCCATATGTAATCAAAATAGTGAAAAACTATAAAACATTCGCAAAAGTATCAAAAAAAAAAAAAAATCTTCATAATTTAACTGCATTTGATAGAATATTTAATATTTGGATACCTACCTATCTAATGACTACTGGCGAAAAAATATGAGTTCTTAGTTGCCTATAATCGAGTTTGGCTTCTAAATTCAGCACAATACAAGCGTTAAGTTACTTACGTGTTCTAAATCTTAAAATAATAATAATAAAATATTGATACGATTTTTGTACAATGTTAAATTAAAATTAAATTAAATTAATAAAAAATAACTATTTTCTACAAGTGCGTGAGAAGTTAGTATTTTCCCGCATCACTAGTTCCAATAAGCAATAAAATGGTTAAAGCCCATGAAAAAAATTGATGAATATCAAAATAAACTATAAATTCTATGCCTATCAACGGGTGCTCCTTTACCCGCCTTTATCACTCTTTTTTAATTTTGAGATCTGGACAGGTGTTAGTTTTTAAAATCGCAGTATCATTAGCTTTACACCAGCTATTAAACAATATTTTACATTTTTCTGGTTTTATCGTTTGTGATATAATTTACATATGAATTTAGTGACATGCAGACGTTAATTAAAATTGATGAACATTTTTCTTGCCTCAACTAGGATTTGAACCCAGGACGTTCGCATATCCACCGCAGTGCTCTACCAACTGAGCTACAGAGACCTGTCTTATTTCTACTTTGTCGGTACCAACGGTAATCGCCGAAGGTTGCCTTTACTCTTCACAACTAACAACTTTAAATTGATGAAAGACTTGACCTACAAGGTAGAAATGAGACAGCTCTCGGTAGCTTAGTTGGTGAAGAGTAGACTTGCAAGGATCCTGAGTTCAAGTCCTAGTCGAGGCAAGAAAATTTTTCTTTTTCACACGCTGCTAATTAGTTTTTTTGCGAGTTTTTTATTTATTTTGGTCCTATAATCCTGATCAATTTTAATTAACGTCTGCATGACACTTAATTCATGAACACACTGTGAAATATTTCAAATTTTCAGGTACTGCGCTTCAGGCCATGCTAGACTTTTTCAAAGCTCTGGTAAAATGTAATCTTCCAGGTTTATCGTATGACCATCTACTAAGACTGCTAATTACCCCAATCACACAATTGTCAACCAATCCATCAGCAACCTTACATAAGCAAGCATTCTACTCTCTTGCGAAATGTGTCGCCGCCATATTTTCTCCAGATATACCACACTTCATCAATGAAATTCAGAATATCACAAATGATTCGCAACAGATTTTTGCACTGTTGGTTGTTGGAGAAATTGGAAGAGAAGTGTAAGAATAATGAAGATTAGTTTAGTTTCAATAATTAAAAATTATTTTTGAACAGGGATTTAACATCAGTGCCTAACCTGAAACAAGTAATTCTCAACTCCTTTGGTGCTTTTTCTGAAGAAGTCAAATCTGCTGCCAGTTACGCATTAGGAGGCATCTGTATTGGCAATCTTCAGCAATACTTGCCGTTTATCCTCAAAGAAAGTCATGAACAACCGAAAAGACAATATCTTCTATTGCATTCAGTTAAAGAGGTAAAACTAGTGTTGTCTTTATATTTATTTATTTTTTTTAATTATTTTTTTTTATAGGTTATCACTTGTCTTTCTCAAACAAATGAAGGTGTCCAGCAACTTCTACCTTTCGTCCCTGATATTTGGGCACAATTATACTGTCACTGTGAGTCCCAAGAAGAAGGTACTAGAAATGTTGTTGCTGAGTGTTTGGGAAAATTGACTCTGATCGACCCAAGCAATCTTTTGCCAAAATTGAAGAGATCTCTCAATTCTCCTTCGCCATTGATGAGGACCACTGTGGTAACTGCTGTCAAATTCACTATTTCTGACCAGGTAGGTAGGCTCGTTATTGCCGGACTTTAATATACTTGAAAAAAAAAAAGATTTTCCTAACTGGGAGAATTAATAAACATTTTCATGCTGAATGAGTAGCAAATCTTTTGGTGTATGTTTATCAGTGATTGTTTTTTTAAAGTTTGGTCATCGTTGATGACTAAAAAAACGGAATAACCCGGCCCTACTCAGGGTTCTAAAAACACCAAGATGCAAGACGTCAGCCTTGAGTTAATTATTCCATGCCCATAAAAGCTGAAGACAATTAATTGTTTGACATTTATAAAGTGTGTGCGATGGAATTTTATTGTTTTGATGTTCTGATATTCAATATGTCAATCTGTGAGGTGTTCACATCCTGACATTGGATCAACCATCTGAAAAAAATTGTTAATCTGTTCTTAGTGATCTTAAACTTCAGGCTTCCGGTTTAAAGATTTCCTTCAATTGCAATTATCAGGTTCCAATGTATTGAACAATGTGTACATCAGCAGAAAGTACGATCTATTAATAGGGGCCACTAAAACTATGAGGTGAACAGATCAAATACTCCAGCTCAGTGAAGACTCTAAAATACACCAGGATGCCAAGCTAATATGGGATGAAAACTTGAAAACCCAGAACAGGAAATTGTACAGCATCCTATTTGGCATTCAGACGAACCATAGGAAAAAACCTGCATTTTCAAACTGAAGGTGTCCCTATAGATTTACAACCCGGTACCTCGACGATTGTATTGGTGATCTAGAGTAGGCAGTCACGCACATGTAGAAACCTGTGGCCAGCAGAGGAAATCAACACACCAACTGACGCTCGATATACTCCGCGTGATGTACTCATTTAACTCGCCTTGTTAATAATGGATGTGAATTTGATCTAAATCGGTTTTATTTTAGTTTCTGCTAGTTTATAGAAAAGTATAGAATTGAAAATTTTATTTAAATTAAATTTTCAACAGGATCATTTGATTAATCAAATGATCCTGTTTTCAGAATCCTTTAGACGGTAAAACGCTTTTTTGGGTCCTCACCCTGACATCAAAACTCGCTACTAAAATTTCTTAATTATTCTTTAAGAAAAAAAGAGGATGTGGAACCATTTTTTTTCAAAATAAATTGAACTCCTGTTTTTATTTTGATTTCAGCCCAGTCCAATAGATCCACTCCTAAGACAATGTATTGGCGAATTCTTGAACACATTGCAAGATACAGATTTGAATGTCAGAAGAGTAGCATTAGTAGCATTTAATTCTGCTGCACATAACAAACCTTCATTAATTCGGGATCTTCTGGATACTGTTTTACCCCAACTCTACAATGAAACAAATGTTAAGGTTTGTGAAAATTGTTTATCACTATTATGAGTTATATGTACCACAATGTATTTTGTTTAAAACAGTGAAAACTATATTTAGTGCCATATATGATTTTTGTTTTAAACAATTTATTTTTTAGCGTGATCTTATTCGTGAAGTTGAAATGGGTCCTTTCAAACATACAGTTGATGACGGATTAGATATAAGAAAAGCGGCATTTGAATGCATGTATACCTTATTAGATTCCTGCCTAGATAAGATTGATATTTTTGATTTTATAAATCATGTAGAGTCTGGTCTTAGAGATCATTATGATATCAAAATGTTGACGTACTTGATGGTAGCCCGTTTGGCTCAAATTTGTCCAGGATTTGTTTTACAGAGTAAGTTAACTTTGCTTATTGCTATAAAAATGGTCTTATTGTCGCATCGTTTCAGGATTAGATGGTTTGATTGAACCTTTAAGAGCAACTCTTACACTGAAAGTGAAGGCAAATTCCGTCAAACAAGAATATGAAAAGCAAGATGAATTGAAACGTTCTGCTATGAGAGCAGTTTCAGCATTGTTGAGTATCCCCGATGCTGGTATGTTATATGTTATGTTGTTAGTACTAGCTTCAAATCATAAATGGCGACACAAAAAATAATCTGAGACTTATCTTTTGTATATGTTTTGAATTTATATTTGTTTTATATATCAAAATATTTTTAGATAAAAATCCCCATTTGAACGACTTTATGAATCAAATCAAGAATTCGTCGGATTTGCATCCAATATTTGAATCAATCCAAAAGGATTCTGCATCATCACACACCGATTTTTTGATGGATCAAAGTTAAATATTAAGAAAGTGTTATAATTTTTATTGTGACTTTATCAGGTGCATCCCTGTGAATCAATTTGTTTAAGGGTGGTTCAATTAAGCTGAGACGCCTTTGAAAAGGTGCGTTTTTGAAAAAAGTTATGTAGTGTAGTGGGGGAAAGAAAATACTCGGTTAGAACGAGCGCTTTTCCTAATTCCCATAAAAATTTCCTATAAGACCAATGATGTGATTTTTTACTGTTTATTGTAAACTTCGTATATAGTGAACAAATTTTGAAGCATTTTTTAATTAAGTTCACTATATCTAGACTTCACTGTATATACAGAGCATTTTAAAACTTACCACCTCTATTATCTCGGAGTTGAACAATTTTCGAAAAAAATCCTGAAACACATCAACTATAATTTGACGGGGGAAGAGTTTTTATACAAAATTCACCTCCTCCCTTTCAAGCCCCCAGCTCCCAGAGCCACCCCTAGAAAATCTTAAATGGCAAAGGGAGTCAAGTGATACATTATTTTGGAGGGTTTTTAATTCCATACATTTTGGTACTAAACTTCAATTCCTAAGTTCAACTGTTTTGGAAATATTGACAGTTGGAAATTGATTTTTTTGCTACTTTGACAGGCTGTATAACCTAAACGGTTAATTTTCGAGGAACACCGATCTTTCATTTTTATCTTAGATTTTCATAAACTATCATTTGACACCAACTTTGAATTCAATCGGAGATTAAATTTTCAACCGGAATTTTTGATGATGGATTAAATTCAAAGTTGCTGTCAAATGATAGTTTACAAAAATCTAAGATGAGAATGTGAGATCGGTTTTCCTCTAAAATTAACAGTTTAGATTTTACAGCCTGTTGAAGTAGCAAAAAAGTCAATTTTCAACTGTTAATATTTCCAAAACAGTTGAACTTAGGGATACAAATTTAGTACCAAAATGTATGGAATTTAAAACCCTCTGTAATATTTAGGTGTAAATAAAATACGATTTTACGACAATTCCGTTTATTAGAAAACCCGTGACATACCGGTACCGATCTATTGATACACTGATATTAATTGTATATAGGTACCTACATGGTACCTACATATTTACCTTAGGATATGAATAGCCGCTGGAGTGTAGGTACTATTATAATATATAAATAAAATGCATACACTACATTCCTCCCCTTTTAAATTACTACCAAACAAAAATAGATGAATTCTGTCCCAATACCCAATTTATAAAATTAACTAACCAAAAATAACAAAAAAAACGTTATTACAAGCTAACATGGTACGAACCGTTCTACCGGCTTCCGCACTCTCTGTGGCCTAGGAGAGGGCGAATCAGCAGACGCATTATTTTGGTTCAATTCAAAATTGTCCTGATCAATATCAACAAAATGAAATGAACGATTTTTTGTTTGTTTACAAACTTTACGAAGATGACCTTTAATTCCACATATATCGCATACATATTCACGGAAAAAACAACGCACGCTTTCGTGATTGTTTCCTCCACACACTTTGCAAAATCGCATACCTGTTTGGTTTGGTTTGAAAGAGTCCCCTCTCCCCGCTGACCGTCCACCAGCGCTGCTACGTGAGGTACTTGCATTCTGCGATGTTGAAGGTCGCTGGAACTGTTTTCGTGTCTGGTATCCACTCATATTCCTGGCACTACCACTACTATCGCGAAAATTTGATTGTAACTGGTTAATTTCGCACTTAACTTGTACATTACTGGATAATCCATAACTGTTTTGTGCAGTTTCTGTCGATAAGGCTAACTGAATTGCTTCCTGAAAAGTTAGGGTTTCCGTTTTGGTGAAGAAAGCATCCAATATTTTACTGCCCCGCTCAAAACCGCAAACAAATTTATCCCGCAGAACTGTGTCCAAGTCGTTTCCAAATTTGCAATGAGCTGCCAAACCCCTGAGTCTAGCTGCAAACTCCTGAATGGATTCAGAATTGAGTTTTTTTGTTGTGTAATATGTATATCTTTCTACAAACACCGCTCGGTTTGGCTTATAAAATGTTTGTAAAAGTGCGACTAGGTTTTTATAATCCGTTGATTCCAGTTTATTCGGCAATGCCAAATTTTCTAGAAGCATAAATGCACTCTCCGATAATCCATTTAAAAATATTGCACGTTTCTTTTTATCGTCATCTATTCCGTTTGCTACAAAAAACGATTCAAGTCGCCTTTGAAAAACGTCAAAATCATGTAGGTCTGGGTTAAATTCTAATTGAATTCCAACGGTCGACATTTCAACTATTTAAATCACTTCCTTTTAAACACCAACTTGATTTCTTAATCCTTTAAACACTTAATAATTAATTTCCATTATCCATCGTCGCCACTGTAATATTTAGGTGTAAATAAAATACGATTTTACGACAATTCCGTTTATTAGAAAACCCGTGACATACCGGTACCGATCTATTGATACACTGATATTAATTGTATATAGGTACCTACATGGTACCTACATATTTACCTTAGGATATGAATAGCCGCTGGAGTGTAGGTACTATTATAATATATAAATAAAATGCATACACTACACCCTCCAAAATGATGTATCACTTCACCCCCCTTCCCATTTAAGATTTTCTAGGGGGTGGATGTGGGGGCGGTGAATTTTGCATAAAAACTCAGCTCCCTTCAAATTATAGTTTTTCAGGGAATTCTCCGAAAATGTTCAACTCCGAGATAATAGGGGTGGTAAGTTTTAAAATGAACTCCCTGTATAATATATACAGTGAGGACATAGAAGTCCGTCGCCCCCCCTTCTAACTTTTGAACCGCTCGGTATATTGCAACAAGATTTGGAATAATGATATGTGAGCAAATTCTCCATTTTTTGAAAAACAAATGACAGCTTCAGCTGTAAAAATGACAGCTGGCCGCAGTTTTGAAACGTTTTTTTTTAATAGGAGGCGGCGCCGAGTGACATATCGTTTTAAAGGTCTCTTTATTCTTAATTTAATCCCCGATTCTGAAAAGATTTGGTTTAGCGGTTTTCAAATGATGACGAAAAAACATGGGGTTGTTTTGGTCACAAACACTCGTAGAAAAAAAAAAAATGTTATCGGTTTTTTATTTATTATTGTTTTTTTTTTTCAGTAATAAATAATGACGTAATGACATAGGTACCTTAAAAAAAAAGAAAGTACTCATAAAATAATGAGTCAATTAAAAAAAAAAATTATGACCAAAACAAACCTATGTTTTGATAATAGATCATTTGAAAACCGCTAAACCAAATGCTTTGAGAATCGGGGATGAAATTAAGAATAAGGAGACCTTAAAAACGATATATCACTCGACACCGCCTTCCATTTAAAAAAAACGTTTCAAAACTGCGCCCAGCTATCAATTTGACAGCTGAAATGTCATTTTTGTATTCGAGGGGAAAACTTTTTGACCCGACCCCATTGGTATTTCGCTAGGGTGCACCCCCTGGGTGGGGTGACTTTCGCCCCTCTTTTTTCAGGTAGGAAAGATGGGGCGAGTGGTACCTTATTTTAAAGGTATTTTGTTTCTCTTCACAACTGCGTATTTTTTTGTAATCGAATGATTAGTTCTCAAGATATTTACTGTCACAGTTGCCATGGGCTTAATAGGAAACAATCTTCTGGCCCTGTTATTCTCAAATTAACACTTTCCTGACTTACCTCTCAGACACGTCAATTTTATTTTTTGTGTACTTGTGAAAAAATGAAAATTGAGGTACCACTCGATCCATCTTCCCTATCTAAAAAACATAGGTGAAAGTCACACCACCCAGGGGGTGCAGCCTAGCGAAATACCGATGGGGTCGAAAACTTCCCCACTTGAATACAAAAATACCCAAAAACGTCTCTGTTTGGATGTTCGTGAAACACCCTGTATATTCAACTTTGCACCAAATTGTGTCGCTGGCTTAGGCTCTTAGGCTGTCTCAGGTTAAATGGACCACCTGTGTATTTATATTGCCCAGTTTCTGATTTACATTTTTTGTTTTAGGATAAGATCTATAATTAACCTAGTTGTATAATTTCTTCATTTAAATAAATAATATTAAATTTGTAGCGAGGAAGGAAATCTAATTTTTCACTACACGTCGTTCTAAATGATTTTTTTAACTTATTATAGTTCCAAATTAGGCAAAAATCATGATAATGGGCCTAGTTTCATTTTCCCTCCCAGAGTGTATGGCAAAATATCTCAGGTTGTGGGTTTTTGTAAACGAAATACTACTTGGCAGGCGACCAGATGACTTTATTTGCACAAACACATAAACTTGAAATCCGAAAAATTGGAAAAATTTACAGTAATAAATTTAAAAGGCATAAAAATGTAAGAATAATAGTTATATTGTCAACACACGAGCCTGCTTGGGAAAACAACACACTGCAGATGAATTCAATAATTCTTATTGCAAATCGACAAAACACAGGACATAATTAACATGTTTAATTATGTTGAGACGAGCAAGAAACAGATATAAATTGCGATGCTAGCCGCATCAGAGGCAGATTTGAACCAGCGCTGGTTCCTCTAGTTAGTGCCATTTAGGATTTTGAGGTTATGGTAGCTACGGCCGGAGGGGTGATTCAGGGAGACCTGAAAAGTACCTTGTTTTGGTTCCCCCTTCCAACCCTCCAAATTGGTTTTTCATTTTTTTTTTATCCATTACCGTTTTCAAGATATAGGCCATTGATAGTTTTCGGTGGGACACCCGGTATATATCTATCTACTTTTTATATTACTTGAGCGAGTTTCTCTCCATCAACCCCTCAAAGCTACAACCCCCATGTCACCCCTGTAAAACAGGCAAATGTGACATATTTGGTGGAGGCGCCGGGCACGGCTGTTGTGACAGTCTACCTGGCACTCGGCCAAAAATGTATAATAATAATAATAATTGTTGTACACAATTTAGTTGGTCTTTGTAGCACCTAGTTTAGGATAAAATAGCAAAGAATGCGATGATCTATTCAAAAAACCGGACAACAATAATACAAGTCTAAAAAAACACTTGCTGATAAGAACAAAAAAAGATATATAAATAATTGAAGAAACGTGTTTGTGTATGGATTGCGTTTTTCTTGTGTCTAAAAGAGTCTATTAAAAATTACATTACATATTGATTGATGAAATTTTTCACATTCATCTGTATAAATGCTGAACTTTTTTGCCATTTCCAACCTTTGAATTCAAAAGAAATAGTGAGAGCTCGAGGCTCAGAAATTAAAGACATGCTTACGAATACATTTCTGGTTTTCTACCTAAACTTATTCTCACCACTGTTTAGGGTCGGTTTCTCAATAGCGAGTCACATCCGGGTTGGTTTTAACTTCAGGGTAAACCATATATTATCTATATGATTATACTAACGTATATCGCGCCTTCCGCATTTACCCAATGTGCGGTTTTTGAAGCAAACAAGGAGAGATAAAAATATATGATCTGGCATAAGTCTATCTAAAGTAACAAGGTCACCAACTGCGCTTGCGTTAAACTCTAGATTCTTATTGGCCGGCGGTTGCCATTTTGCAACAAGCTTTTCGTGCCGTGTTGTCATGTCAAGCTGAAAAGTACAATGAATTAGGATCATTTTTTGAAGTTATAATTTGGTTGATTGTATTTTGATTCCAAAACACTAATTATAATGAATATATTGGTTTGTTTGTCGAAATTGATATTGTGTTACACACCAAAATACATACTTCGTCATGTTTTTTGTGAATGTTTAAATAACTCGATGAAGATGAAAATAATTTTATTGGCAACCCTGCAATATCAGCTGTTTAAAATTAAATCTTATTGGAGGAATAGCTTCAAATTGACGGATGCGCATTGGAACAAACAAGTTCACTTTAGACAAAGAAGGCATCGTTCTATCTCATAATGTTTGTCTATGACTCAAACCAACCCGCGATAAACGTAGTCAAAGCCCTTAGTATAATAGATATATGGGGTAAACGTATCCAGTTGCAATGTTTACCCTAAAGTTATGCTTAACCCGGGGGTGCCTTCCTATTGAGAAACCGGCCCTTAACGTTTATAAAAAAATGCACACCTTTTACATAAAAGCACGTACCACCTATAATTTATACACAGGGTGCCCCACGACGTTTTTCCCAGGTGATATACTTTGGTCATTGATTCTTTGGTGATAACTTCGGAACGCGTCATCTAATGTAATTGAAATTTTGAGGATCTGGGTAACTTTTTATGCCGCTTCTATTTGTGTCATTCAATTTCACCACTTTATTCGCTTCAGTTTCGGTCGAGTGGTGACGGCAACTTTAGAATCTCAAATGTAACCTATGGTATATTGGAATTTTTCGTTCGTATTCGAAAATTAAATTACAAAATCGGCAATGTAATATTTGCTAAGGCTTTTTTGAATAAAATAATAAAAAATTACAAAGTGGAACATTTAATGACACGTTCCGAAGTTATCACCTGGGTAAAATCTCGTGGGACACCCTGTATATGTATAGGTATCAACAACATGATTTATGGCTATACTATAACCTCAAAACAGATGTTTCAAGTCGGGGCCATAAGCGGGTCCCTAGATTCCCGAGTCGGGGCGGAACACTAGTCCTGACTAAACTACTGATGACGTCATTCAGGACTGGATGTGGATCCCGAGTCGGGACTCTAGTCACAGCGATGAAAAAATTGGAACAAATTGGAATTAGAGCCATTAGAGGCAGTGTGCTTAATTTGTTTAAAAACTATCTTGAGAACAGATGTCGATACGTTTAGTACAGGGTAATTAGCCTATTCAAACTAAAGACAAAATATAAAGCTAAGAATTTGTTTGAAGGTACGTTATGGGTAAGTAAATAAGATTTAATACCCTTGCATATTGTGCGTGATGGTGGGAAGCCGTCATTGGCCGCCATCTTGGAAGTAATAATTAAAAAAATTAGTTTCGCTATCTTTTTCATTGTAGAAGTAAATCACAAAGCCAATCGAAGCACTGCGCAACACTTTGTTTGAAGCACAAAAAAGGTTCGGCTGGAACACGCGTATGAAGTATCAGCATTCAGCGCGCGCGAAAGCCGGATTGCTTCCACAAAATTGCAAGTTGAAAAGCTTATGTTGTGTCCAGTTACAGAGTTATTATCCAGAGCCGCTTCCCAGCTGAAAACGTTTGGCACCGTGCGCTTCGAATCTCACAAGCTCAAAGCGCCGATGTCAGTTGGAACACGCTTCGAAAATTTCGCATTAAAATAACCGTCTTTTATGTCAAATTGTTTACTTTGGCTCTTGGCTCGAAGCCACTTGTTGAGAGGTTGTGCATTAGGAGGCAGGGGAGAGGTAGGTTGATGCGTTGCAAGCTCATTGGCAGATGAAACAGAATTTTCACGCGTTTGTGCACGCAAATGCTCGATTGCGTGCATAAAACGGCCAGCTGGAGAGCGACTCTGGTAACATTGGATAATAACAAATTCGAGTCGCACCAGTCCTCTAGCTTATTTAGATCTGTATCCATATCAACGTTCAACAGAGTAAACTTTCCCGAAACTGGGAGAAAATCGTTGGTATAAATGAGAAAAAGAAGAGTTCCCAGTACAGAGCTCTCTGGTATCCCAACATTGATGCTCACGACCATCACAAGTAGTAGTAAAAACCACCTCAAAGCCTCACCTCTACATCCAAACCATTCTAGCTTCCACAACAGAATGTCGTGATTCACTCAATCAAACGGTTTGAAAAAGTCACAAAACACCGCCGCTGCTAGGTACCTCTCCACCTTTCAACTGGTTATAGACAACCTCGTGAAAACTAACAATAGCATCATTATTGCCGTTCCATTCTTGAATTCTGAACTGCTGGTATGCTCAGAAAACCATGACTTCCCCAGGAAGATTGTGTCTTAATAGGCTGGCTTTTAATGCTAGCATCATGAGATTTAGCTATGCGGTGTGGATAACCTCGAACCTCGTTTTTTCTTTTGGTTAGGTCCTTTGCTAGGAGAGTTTATTTTGCACTTGCGGTGTCACGTTTGCGGTATGCTTTACCGTTTTGGCGACAAACCCATTCAAACTAGCGCTAGTGTGAACACAGAAAAACCGGTGTTCATATTATCGAGACTGTCCACACCATCGAAGGTCTAACTAAAACTGTAAAATACTGTCAGGCAATGGTCTCTAAACTCAAAATTTAAGAAAAATAAATACAATCGGTAGGTACTTGCAAACATATCCGCATAGTAAATTTTTCCAGTTTATTGATTAAAATGATGTGTTTTTTTTTCTAAATCGTTCCAGCTATCCATGTGATGGCTACCGCTTTGTCTTGAATGTTTTTCATGTTTTCTTTGTGATTTACGCCAATATATGCTCCTAATCTTGCTGCTGATCTTCTAGAATTTTTGACTTCTCATAAAGAGTTAAAAAAAAAAATGTTTTTCGTCATTTTTAACAAAACTGATTTTGCTGTGGGTATCACAGAGATAGACGAAATGAAAATAAAATTTAAATAAATTCCTGGAAAAAAAACTAAATAATTTTTTCCAGTTTAAATTTAATTTTTGTAAATTTTCGAGAACTGGTTCTATTATCGGATTCCTTTTCTCGATACATTCGGAGAACCGCAGAATCGGATAGAAACCATCGATGAGAACAACAAGTAGGTAGAGTACCGAGATTCTCAAAAGTTTACACTAGAGATCTTCACAGAAGCATGTGTTCAAACCAGCGCGAGTTTACTATACTTAGGAATGAAAGTCGGGAGAGGGAGGAAGCAGACTGTAAGAACAGAGGAAAATAGAGAAAGGGTAAAATTATTGGAAATATACGATCTCAAGAATCTGTTGATTTTTGAAAACACTCAAGAATTTGCCATGTCATGAAAATTATTTCCAAATACTTACGTCATCGATTGCGACAAGATTCCGTTCTGGCGAAGAGTTCCATATTTGAGAAGAGAAGATATTTAATTTCAGGTTTAGGCCGCCCAAAATAATGTAATAAAAAAAAAAAAAAGAAATCTTGTTGAAGATTTTTCTAATCGAGAGAAGCCACTTTTGGCATCTCTCCTGGTATAATTTTTGTGGATACAGGAGTGAAATTT